CTGTTATTAGATACCCAGAGAGTCCTAATGCAGTAGTGAATAAAAATGTTTGCTGAAGCCCTGCTGTCCTCTACTTCTATACATGTTCCCTGTGCTAGTGTTCTAAGGACAGCTGTCTTTTATTTCGTCATTGCTCATTGTTAGCGTGACAATTTTGCTATTTCATAAATCTAAGTGTCACAGTTCATTACCCCTTCTATTCCCCCCTGGTCTTCCTTCCCATTTTCCTTTTATTTCCCTTTACTCTCTGCCCTTGAATGAAATGCTGACAAAGAAATACAAAACAACTGGGGGCATAATTAGTATAAGGCTGGGGTTTCTCTGTGTGTGTGTGTGTGTGTGTGTGTGTTTTGGTACTGGGATCGAACTCAGGACCTTGTGCTTGCAAGGCAGGCGGTGGCACCACTGAGCTAAATCCCCAGCCCAAGCCTGAGGTTTATGAACAAATAATGGTTTCATTCGTCCAGATTTTCCAGGACTTGTGATGCAAAGGGATAAGAAACAGGAAAGTTTAAAACAAAAGCATTATTCTGATCCAGGAGGGCTACACTATATAACCTGAGTTCCTCTGGAGTTCACCTGAAGGATAGGCTATTGCTTGCTTAAAGGACCCTTAATGGCTCTACTGCCAACTGTTCCCCATTTCCTCTTATTAAAAATCCTACTCTAGGGCCAGGGATTTAGCTCAGTGGTTTTGCTGCCTGCTGCGCAAGCGCAAGGACCCGAAGTTCGATCCCTGGTACCAAAAAAAAAAAAAAGTCCTACTCTTTGTCAACTCAGACCCAGAAGATTTCCAGGTGTATGAGGTATGATAACAAATATGGTGAATGCTGCTGCTAAGTGCCACTCAATGGAAAGGCAGAGATCAGATGACCCTTAGTAACAGTGTAACAAGTTTCAACTATAATTCCATTCAAAGCATTTTAACAAGAGATGTGAACACCAGGTAAGTGACAGCTTTTTAACTGTCCAGATGTTTGTTAATTTCACTGGAGTTGGGTGATCATGCCATGTTAGGTTCTAGTTTTTTTTAAAGAAATGTCATCCTGGGAGATGAGACTTGGTTCTGTGGCTATAATCCTGAGACCAAGGTTCAAAATGCTCAATGGAAATCATCCAGTAGTCATGAAAAAAAGCACATGAATCAAGATCCAACATCAAGGTGATGTTGACTGTGCTTTTTGATGTGGGTGAAATTGTGTGAGCTGAGTTTGTACCCAGAAACACTATGGTGAATTATAAATATTTTATAAGGACTCATTAGAGCATTTAAGAAGTGATGTGTGTAGAAAACAGCCCAAGAAATGGGCAGTTTCCTCCTTCATCATGACAATGCTCTGTGTCACATACTGAACATCATTGGTTCAGCAATTTCTGTCAAATAAAAACATCATGGTGCATCCTCATCCACCTTATTCACCAAATCTGGCACTCTGGAACTTCTGGGTCTTTCCCAAAGTCAAAATGACCATAAAAGGCAAACTGTTTTAGTCGATTCAGGACATCAAGGCAGCCACAACAGCCCAAATAAAGACACTCGTGAAAGAGGACTGCCCGAACTGCTACAGAGAATGGCAAAAATGATGGGACAAGTGTGTCCTGAGCGAGGTGGGGGAGGTATTTTGAGGAAGATTAATGGCAATGTGTCTTTTTCTGGGAGAATTTAAAAAATGTAAACATTTGCTATATGTTTTAATCATACTTTGTGCACAAAGGTCTTGCTGTTTTTTGGAATAGCTCCAAGAGGTTGCCACTCTAACTGGAAAATCACAGACCTTGTACGGAAAGTAGGTGGAGAAGCTGGAATGCTCAGGAGGCTTGTGGGGGGTGGTGCTGAAGGCAGATAACCAAGCCCTAAACCAGCTTGCTGACAACTGTGTCAACACAATCACAGTTTTATCCAGAAGCTAAACTAAAAATAACCTGTCACTTTACCACCGCAGGCCTGCCTGGCTCTAAGGTGCAGAGCAAAGCTAAACACAGGCTTGCCGCTGCATTTCCAACAGTGGAAGGTGTAATGACGTCAAGGGACGATCACCTAGGAAGGCAACCACTCACCACGTCAATTTATTCAGCTAATGCATTTTATCTCTTTTAGTAGCGATTTATTTGTGTCTCTTCAAAGGGCAATCAGGATATGCTGTTGGCTTCTTTCTGATGCCTTTGGAAATTATGGTTTCTGGATATTTTATTTGTGTTGATGATATATCTGGTTCATGTTTTGGGGAAAGGTAACCATTTACTCAACTGCAGATCTTTGAGGGCAAGAATCAGGTCTATCCATCTTCATATCTCTAGAACCTAACAAGTTCTAGAAACTTAAAAAGCTCTCAATAAAATATTTTTTAGGTAAATAAATAAATGAACAGCTGAACAAACAGCAAAAACCCAATCTTGTGAGGAAGATCTTGGAAAGCTTATTCAAGGACCTAAAGAGTGGTCTGAATCTTCAAGGAGTGAGTGCTGTTAAGCGTTAGCAAGGCGGAAGGGTAGAGATGCGCAGGAGATAGAATGTTCCAGGCATTTGAAATTCCCATCAGAGGAATTAAAAGGGGTTTTATACAACCTGTAGGTGAGAGGAAGGGAGTGAAGCTGAAGAGGAGCCTTGGTGATTCTACTAGAGTTTGAATTTATTTTTTTTGGTACCTGGGATCGAACTCAGGACCTTGCACTTGTGAGGCAGGTGCGGTGCCACTGAGCCAAATCTCTGGCCCCAGAGTTTGAATTTTGTTGGGGAGGGGAGCACAGTGAGACTTCCTTTTGGGAAATTTTCTTTGGCAGCAATGTGACAGGTCATTGATAGCAGGGACAGAGTTGGGTTGAGATGGGATTGCAGAGATCAGGTAGAACACTGGACAGTCAGGAGTTCAGGTGAGGGGTGAGGAACGTGGGATCTATGACTGAAAGGTTCTTCAGTTCTCATCATCTTCCTGTCAGTTTTTATCATCCATCAAGATGTCACACCCTTTTTCGGGAACAGTAGCTGGGGCTGCTGAGGAGTAGCAGAAGATGGCAACTGCCGTGGAGTTTTGTGAACTTTTGTCTTAGCTGGGCCACCCCAAAAGGCAAGGTGGACCAAACCCTCTTTCTCCCATAAAATGAATGAATGTTCTTTTCTGATACCATAATCCTTTGACCACTTCACTTCTCTTGCCCACCTGTCACTTTGTATTTTTTTCAGCAAGATAATAAAAGGAAGAATCAAGAAAGGAGAAGATGCAGGAGGTGGCAAAGAAATAAGGTGGATGGTAGGGTGGTAAGGACTCTATGTATCCCATTCACTAATAAAGAGGAACTAAAGCTGTTGAAAGAAGAGCAGGAGTGGATTTTATCTTTTGACTCCTTTACCAGGAATCAAATTTTACAGAGGGAGTTTGGGATAGATGGAAACATGTCCCTGGATATTTGCTTGATTTATTTATGGAAAAGTAGATAAACTCTTTCTTCTCTTTCTAGGGCTTGTCTGAGGGGGGCCAGAAGGATCAAACCCCATCCCCTAGGACAGTGGTTCTCAACCTGTGCTCTACATCAAAATTAACTGAACCTTCCTGATGCTTGGCCATACCCCAGGAGATTCTAACTTAATTGGTTGGGGCATGGTTTGGGAATTGGTCCTTTTATAGAACCTTCTGGGTGATGCAAAAATACAGATGGGGTGAGAACCATTCCTGTAGATGAGGCAATAGGAAACTTTTTCTGTAAAGGACCGAAGAGTAAGTGTTTTAGGCTTTGTGGACTATGTGATCTCTGATACAACTGCTCTGCTCTGCTGTTGTAGTGTGAATGCAGCCATAAACAATATGTAGGTGAGAGTGTACAACTGTGTTTCAATAACACTTCATTAACAAAAATAGGCAATGAACCAGGCATGATGGTGCATGCCTATAATCCTAGAATTTGGGGAGGGTGAAGCAGGAGGAAAGTCTGAACCCAGCCTAGGCCACTCAGTGACTTAGGCACTGTCTCAAATGAAAAATAAAAAAAGGCTGGGGATATAGCTCAGTGCAAAGGTCCTGGGTTCTACCCCCAGTATCATGAATAAATAAATAAATGGAAACAAAAATTTTAAAAATAGGCAATGGGCTGGATTTGGTTCACGAGTTATGGTTTATGAATTCTTGCATACTCCGAAGGACAGCCGGATGGACCAGGTTGCTGAGTGAGGGATGGAGAAAGTAGGAAACATACTCTAGTTTTAAAAAAGGATTTGAAAAAATGTTTTAGTTTTATTTTAGTACAATGAGATATATTTTTGAGTTCCATTTCATAAAATGCTTCTGGGAGAGTAAAGGGATGACTGACAAAAAATTCATCTTAGCATCCTACATAGCCGTCTATTCACAATGACACTGTGGGGCCAACTTCACATTCAAAATCTGCTAACAGGGTTGGGATTTAAAGTCTTGGTTCAATATGAGTTAGCCTCAATTTATGGCAAAGCGGTCAGGTTATATCTGGGCAGTGAAAAAAAGAAGAAGTAGACTATTAACTTTCATTAAACCTCTATGTTGGTTGAATTCCTAGGGAGACCAAGTGTGACTTTTTGTATTTTGAGGGAAAAAATTTAATTAGGTACAAAGAAGAAAAGAAAAAATAATCTGCAATAGTAACTAGAAGGGTTAGACATGAAAGACAAAGAAACAGCCTTAGAGCCTGAACTTGGAGAAAAAAATGTTAGAACCCAAATAAGATGTGAGTCTCTGCAAGGTCAGGGAGATGAGCCGATGAACCAATAAGTCTCCTGCATTCTCCCATTTCCTCAGCTGGAATTTAGCCATGAACTTGTGTTTTGCTTTGTTTTTGTTTTTAATCTGATATGGAGAACTAGCTTTAATTTACATTACCACTTCACGCTAGAGAAATCTAGAGAAAGCAAAAACATACTAGAAAAATAAACATTTTTGCCTATTGCTATTTATTTCCTATCGCAACTAATCTCGTGGATACAGGGAGAGTAGTCACGTGACAGATGGCTGCGACTCACGTTTCACTGTCCTCACCTTTATCCTATCGATGTTGGCTTCCATCTTAAGCTGTTCTACCAGCTTCCTGGCTTGTGCTATGCTGGCTGTGTTGTTGCTGGCCATTGGAGCACTGGATGGGTCTTTCAGACACTCTGGGAGAGAAAACAAAGAGGAAGACTGCGTCAGAATTCATGAGCGGCCAAACATGCAAGTTTTTGAAACAGTGGTTGCAGGCAAACCCAGCTCCTCTTCCCTCTACATGTGGTTAGCACCACGTCCATCTGCCAGGCAGACTGGAAGACGAGGTCTGATTTTCCAATTCTCTATCCTTCACCCTCCTCTCTTCAGAGGAAAAAGAAAAGAAGAATGTTCATCAAATTAGGTAGAATAAGATGCACTGCTACATTAAGCAAAGAAGATATTTAAAGTATTTTAATTTATAAAATAAGTTCAAAATGGCAAGGGCGATGTTGTGTGTGGTTACAGTGGTGGCTGCCATGCTAATTGCTGTTACTGCTGTACACTGTTCTCAGAGGATGAAGCAGGAAAGAAGAGCAGAGGGATGCATGGTACATTCTACGCTTCAGGACTCAAGACACTCTTTTTGATGTTCTCTCAGTGGGCTTGAACCCCTCCCTGCTGGTTAACTGGGACATCTCAGTATTGTGCTGCAGAGGTGCTGTGACAGGAGCTTGGCTTTTCAGCGTCGCTTAATGCAGCATTGGAAATAGCTATTCCTCCCCATTGTTTTTGAAATATGGCTCAATTCACAGCTAACCTTTACTCACTATTCTTTAGGAACACATCTGCAATGTCGGGTTGGGGGGCATTGTGTAATTGTTAGGTACATCAATTAGCTTACTTGTTTTCCCAAATTAAGTACAAAAGGCTGATTCACTTTATGGACTTGGAAATGGAGCACACATGTTTTGAGAGTGGACTTCCATGCCTGTGTAAGATGATACTCAGGTTTCTTTGCTCTAACTGTGCCAAGACTACCGTCCCTGGTGTGCCTCCCACGCCTCCCAAGACTTATTCCTACTTAACTTCTCATCCTTTCTGGATACTTCATCTCACTTTAATAGTGATGTTCATCTTGGAAAGCATCCTGTTTCATTTCCCCCACATTCTGATTGGGTCTTGCTCCCGTCAAGTTGCCATAGGCAACTGCAGGACCATCTGCCCCTTAAAGTCACTGACACTCAATAGTGACGAAAAATCTGAGGACTTCAACTCAACAAGCACATGACCCGAGAAATGAGAAACATTAAAGGCGGCCTTAGTCAACACTAGCCAAATCTTGTTCTGAAGACATTATATTAAATGCTATGACTTTTGCTGGCCTTGGGACATCTTTATCTAGGGATGAAGCAGGGTCAGGGTACCTATCTCAAAAAGGAAAGAGGACATAGAGAAAACTCAAGGAAGAAAGAATAATCCATAATAAACTTTAAACATAGTTTAAGCCACCAAATTCAAGAAACAATTCTCTGTTACAATTACCAAGAAAGCAATAGCCTAGCTATACATTTTCTTCTTTCTTGATATAATTCTTCAAGACAAAAGAAGAAATTATGCACAATTTTCTGTAAACATACAAGCTTTCTCATAGAGTTACTTTATAGTGAATACTGCAAAATAAGCCAGCCAATGGCATTTGCAGGGTAAATTGGAAGATGATTAACTGTTCCCTCAACTTATTTTCAAAGGGATTGGGAACAATAAAGCGAGAGGGAAGATGGAAGGGATTTTTGAAGTCACGAAGATCCCCAAAGTGTACTTTCATGCACTTGAAGGTCAAGGGAGGGAGAAATAAATGTAAGAAAAAAAAATACGAAACTATGATTTCATCAGCATGATTAGGGACCAAATCATCTCAGTCCATAGGGAAATTATAGGCTCACAATCAAACAAACACATCTAACAGCCTAGCAGAAGTTCATAGGATCAATATAGAGTGTTGACTTAATCCAGTAGGGTAACCTAACTCTTCCATTCCTCCCAAGTTAGAGGCAGTCATGTTCTATCAGGCCCCGGCCACTGTAAAGACATTGTTTCTGCCCAACTGGAATTCAATCATCACACTAGAATGTAGATAATCAGAAGATTAGCAAGTCCTGATTGAGCCAGAGGGAGATTTGGGAGATTGGCCAGCTACTTTTCTGCCTTGGAGTCTAATCCAGACCATACAGTAACCTGTATCAGAGACCACCATTTGCCTCCTAATACTCCATTCTACTTTTTCATTAGTAATGAACTTTTTCCCCCTCTTCTTAACAGTGATCACAAAAATCCTGAACCTTAGCTGGGTTTAGTTTGCCAAAAGATACATTCGGCAACTTCCTTTGCAGCTAGATATAGTTTTCTGTGAGCTATAAGCAGAAGTGTCCTTAAGGGAAGGAGTTATAGCCCCTCTGTCCCCTCCTCCTTCTACTGACAATCTTGAGCACTCCTCAGTGAGCAGGAAGGACCGGAGTTCTCAGTGGTTGTACAAAGATGCCATACCAGCTGTGGACTTGCACCTTTTATGTGTGACCGAGAGATAAGGGCCTATCTTGTTCAAACCACTATTATTAAGAGTTTGTGCCACTGCCCAGTAGACCTACTATTACCTGATTAAATACCTCCTTATTTTCATTTGAGCATCTAGGGAAGTCTATGTCCTAATGTCTTTTCATGCTCCTTAAAAAAAAGCTGTGGGCGTCCTGAGGAGACTGAGACAGAGAGTGTGTTAGTTCTATTGCTGCTGTCACATATTTCTACAAATCTATGGCTTAAACAGTAGGAACTTCTCTTAGAGCTCTGGAGATGAGAGGTCTGAAATGGACCCAGTAGGCTAGAATCAGGTGGAAGAGGGCCTGTGTTCCTTTCGGAGGTAGAGTGTCTGAGGGGGAATCTGGTTCTTATCCTGTTCCAGTGGCTCGAGGCTGACAGCATTCCACAGGTTGTAACCCCTTCCTCCATCTTCAAAGCTGGCAAAGTGAGTTAGTCTCTCTCTGACTTGGACTGCACTTCAGCCCCCCTCTTCCACTTTGAGGAACACATCTAACTACACTGCACTCACCCACATAATCCCAGATAATCTCCCTCTCTCTCTTTAAATCACCTGATTAGCAACCTTACCTCCTCTTGGATCTGTGTTCTCCTTTGCCGTGTAATTTAATGTATGTATAGGTTCTGGAATTTGGGATGTGACCGACTTTGGGGAATGAGGTTATTTTTCCTACCATGGGAGGAGACTTCTGCATAAGCGGGGAAAAGAAGCAGGGAGGTAGAGAGGGAAAGAAGAGGGAAGGGAGAGGTGCCTAGAAATGCTGGGGACAGAAGACATCTGAAGCCTAACTGGACTTAAGAGAAAAGGTGAGCATAGGCATTGGCATCTAGTTTTAGGCAGATACATCATGAAAGTTGTTTTACTGAATGACCCAGAAAGAGTCTTGTGCCATTTTGAGAATCACTTGGTGCAAGGGTCCATAATCCTTGGGTCACAGACCAGTACCAGTTCCTGGCCTGTGAAGAACGAGGCCACAGAGCAGGAGGTGAGCATCAGGGGACTGAGCAAAGCTTCATCTGCTCCTACAGCTGCTCCCCATGGTCACATCACCACCCGAACTTCACTTCCTGTCAGATCAGCAGCGCCATTAGATTCCCATAGAAGCATAAACCCTGCTATGAACTGTGCCTGTGAGGGATCTAGGTTGCATGGTCCTTATGAGAATCTAATGCCTGATGATCTGAGGTGGAGCTGAGGTGGTGATGCTAGCACTTGAGAATGGCTGCAAATACAGATTAACATGAGCAAAGAGGTTCAACTGCAGAGACATTGTAATAAATCAATTGCTTGTAGACTCATATCAAACCCTACCAGTGAGTGGCAAGTGACAATTAAGCTGCATCTCGTGGCAGGATTTATAGTGACAAATGAATTGATGCACCTCAATTGTATAGCTGCACCTGGCACCAGCCTTTAAATCAGAATCTGTCACTTATTTTAGTCTACACATGACCACCCAATGTCTGATTTACCACTTCTAACTGTGCCTCTTTCCTGCACTACACACTTGTCTGAGTCACAGTTCTGGTAACCCTCAAGCTAACCCTAGCTAAAGTGAGTAAAAAACAATGTCATGGAGAGCTTTCTTTGAAAACAGGGAAGAACCCAATGATGACAGAGCAGAAGACCCTAGGACTGGCAACAAAAAGAAAGCCGCATTTAAAAGAAAATACCCAGAGTCCTACTTAAATCCCAGGTTCATTGCAACAGGTAATTCACATTCTCCAAGCCTGCTTTGTATAATATGTGGTCATCAGCTATTCAGTGAAGCCACACAACCGTTAAAACTGCTTCACCACAGGTAGGCCAAGCACCTACATTAAAAGACAAGTCTTTGGAGTTTTTTAAAAGAAAAACATGAACACGAAGAACAGAAGCAATTATTGAAGGCCACCACTTCATCAAATGGGTCGGCCCTCAGAGAGAGCATCATTCTTAGTAGTTGACCACATTGTTGAAGCTAAGAAGTTCTTTACCCTCTTTCCTCTAAAATGAGACCTAGTTAGAAAATAATCAGCCTTGAAAACTAGAGATCAAAAATGCCAGCCCAAATCAGCCTATCCTTGTCTTACCTGCTGTCACTATTCTCTTCCTCGGTGGCCACTCTGTAAGGCAGCATATGCGTTCACACACACACACACACACACACACACACACACAATTCTGAAAGGACAGCTCTAACATCACTGATTCTTTTTCTTCCATTTTTTTATTGTAGTAAAAGGCACAGCATAAAATTTATGATCTTAACCATTTTAAGGATATAGTGGAGTGGTATTAAGTATACTTATATTGCTATATAACCATCATCCACCTGCAGAACCCTTTTGATCTTGCAAATCAGATTCTGTACCTTTAAACAACATTTCGTCATTCTCCCCTCCCCACCAGCCCTTGACAGGCGCCATTCAACTTTCTGTCCCTGTGGTTTTGACTATTTTAAGTATCTCATATAAATGGAATGCTACACTCTTTCGGTATTTTTGTGTGTGTGTGTGTGTGAGACTGACTTATTAGTGTAATATCTTCAAGCTTCACCCATGCTGAAGCATATGTTGGAATATTCTTTCTTTTTAAGGTTGGATAATATTCCATTGT